ATTTTTTCACCTCTGGTGATTAGTCACTCGCCCAGTCAATATGTCACATCTTCCTTCTCTACCTCTTAAAAATCAAAATTAAGCAACTCAGACAAACTAGTACTTACCACAATGAAGTAATTCAGCTCAAGGAACAGCCTGATTGCTACAGTATTCTTAAAGCAGCAACCATTAAAAACTAGCTATCAATATTCCCTAGGATAACAGTTCTAAAATCCAAGAGAGGAAATGCTTCCAACAGTCTGCATAGAATACATAAATCCTATCAATAGTACTTGATATACCTAAGAGAGCATTGAGCGTGCTCATGACCCTAGTATTTGGAAAGCTGAAGCAGGAATGAGAATTCCAGGCTTGGAGTGCACAGTGAAACTCTATGGTGTATCTGAGCAGTGCTCCTTGCCCAGCATGCTCAAGGCCCTGGGTTCCATCTCAGCACTGTGAAAATCAACTTCAAATGTATCTAAACTGTGATTCAAAGTTAGCAGGGATGTTCATTTTGCCATATGCTCAGGGTTTGTGGCTTATTTTTCCATTTACAAGACTGGATATTTCCCTGCTGGAGAGGCCATAATACCACTGTCCAGGGACAAGACCAGGATGTACTTTAATAAGGGTGACAATTGCTAGTTTAGTGGGCCTGGAAAACAAATCTGATCAAAAAGGGTATTTCTTGAGTGATGGGAAATGTCATTCTGTATATATGTTTCTCTTATTGGTTGATAAATAGAACACTGGCCAATAGAGGCAGGAAGAAAGGCGGGACTAGGAGACGAGGAGAATTCTGGGAAAGGTAGGCAGATAGAGCCCACCAGAAAGAGATGCCATGTAGAGACCTAGAAGATAGGACAGGCCAATTGTTCTCTGGTAAGATAAGTCCATGTAGAAATACACCAATTAATAGAAATTGGTTAATAATTAAGACAGAGCTAGCCAATAAGAAGCCCTAGCCATTAGCCAACAATTTAATAATATAGTGTCCATGTGTTTATTTGGGTCTGGAGGGTGGTGGGACCTGGCAGGAAAAGAAATGCCAGCAACATTTGAGCATTAAAATCTAATGGGACTTGCCTTATTAGGCTTGGGACTTGCTTTAGGAAACTGTCATCCTTTGCTGGGTTTTCCTTTTGCAGTAGTGATGTCAATCTTATGACTGACCACTTTTGGACTTGACAGGTAGATTTGCAGCTGGGAAAGAATTCTGCTTCAGGATGAATCAGACTCAGTCTTACCTAGACCTGATTTAGATCGTATTTAAATAAGACTGGGATATGAAGTCTAATGAAACAAACTAAGACTGTGGGACTGTTAGGATAGAAATAATTTTTCACTTACATTTTCACATAGGAATCGGAATTTTATGGGGCCAATAATGGAACATTATGGAATGAATTATGTATCTTCCCCAAATTCATATGCCTTAAACCCCAGTATAGTTTCATTAGGAGTAAGGAAGTAATTATGATTAAATCAGATCATATTCAGGGTCCAAATTTCGCTTGGACTAGTGTCTATTAGAAGACACTGCAGAGTTTTCTTTTTGACTTTTCTATTTTTCTAAAAACTATATTACTTTCATTAGAAATTTCAAAAATTTAACATTTTTTCAAAGGAAAAGTTAGAATACCACACCTGCCTTTCCTAAACTGAAGTCATTCAGATCTGTGATTTTTGTTACTTGTGTCCTAGCCACTTGTAAGTGTTCACTCAGCTTTTCAAACGTCTAAATCAACCTATTTCACCTTTTCAGTTTACAACAGTTGTACTTTTATTTTTCTGACAGACATTGAACTATTTTAGAATGTTTATCCATAAATATTATCCTAAAAGCACCACATGTTTCAGGAGTGGTACAGAAGGCACACTTTATAATGTGTTCCTGAATACAAAATCTGATTATCATGGTGGCTTAAAACCATATTAGTCCTAAGAGAAAATTCCTATTTTACAATTAAATCACTTCAGAAGTACTAATATAAAACATATAGGCATGTTAATTTCCTATGGATAAATGATTAAATTGCACTAAATATAACTATTTCTGGTTACTTTATAAATTCAGATTCATGGAGCCAAGTTGGTGTAAGCCAAGGGTGTGAGTGAAGGCTAGCCTCCTCCTCCACTTCTCCAGTGCTAGGGTTGCAGCATCCCACCAGTTACATGGCTGCGCCCTAAATGTAACTTAGAATGCTCTACATAGTTAAAAGTTTAAAATATTGGGAAGTTGAGGCAGAAGTACCATCACAAGTTTGAAGCCAGCCAGAGCTACACTGAGTTTCAGGTCAACTTGAGCTACAGAGTAAGATCATGTCTGAAAAATCAAAACAACAAAAAGTTAAGAATACAAAAACTTTCAATCCTGTTAGACCAAATTTTTTTCTTTTACAAATTAAAAACTGAACATAAAATGGATTGCAATTAGCTGGGCGTTGGTGGTGCACGCTTTTAATCCCAGCACTCGGGAGGCAGAGGCAGGCCTATCTCTGTGAGGTTGAGGCCAGCCTGGTCTACAAGAGCTAGTTCCAGGACAGCCTCCAAAGCCACAGAGAAACTCTGTCTCGAAAAACCAAAAAAAAAAAAAAAAGGATTGCAAAAGCCTTTGATAGTTATATAGGTTGTGGGATACAGCAGTTTATTTATCCAAGGCTGCAGCCAAGGCTGTATCCAGGGCACACTCCCATCACTGAAACGAAGATAGGCCTGAAGTCTCTGAAATCCCTCTCAATAATGATCACATTTTTTGAACTAAAGTGCTTCATCTCTAAGTGACTCAGAAACTAGCCAAGCAACTCAACTGTGGGCTGTGGGTGCAGCTCAGTGGTAGGGTGCTTGCTCAGGCTACAAGTTTCATCCCCAGTATAATTATGAGTTAAAAGTGCACAAATCATACAACCAGTCTGACCTAAGTATTCATATTTATACAATAATATGCTTTGGTTCATTTGTCAGTGACCTGACATAATGAGATTTAATTTTTATATGTCTAAGCCACATTTATTACTTGATAAGGGAGGAAGACAATTACTCATTGATAGGTGAAAGTACATGCCATTAACTTTTATTTATTCCTCTTTAAGAACATGTATTTGAGGGCCTAGGGAGATGGTTCAGTGATTAAGAGTGCTTGCATTGCAAGTGAGCATAAGGAACTGAGCTCAAATGTCCAGCACCCATGTGGAAAGCTGGGCATGGCTACAAGTGCCTGTAACCACAGCACTGAGAGGGTTTCAGGGAGCAGAGACAGGCAGATACTTGAAACTGGCCAGCCAGCCAGCCCAAATGGCAAAACCCTGTCTCAGAGCAGTAAGGTAGGGAGTGATAGATAAAGACACCTGACAATTCAGGGATCCAAGGCTTTCTCAGAGGCCCCAGGGAAAGGACAAAAGGAACCTAGTTTTGTGTCTTTGCCCAGGAGTAGACTTGGCAAGGTCCTGTCTTGTCTGGTTTTGGTTCCTAGGAACTTGACAATCCCACCTCTGAAAGGGGCTGGAGTAATCAGTCCCAAGGCCACTATGTGCTCAGTATGTGATGTACTTGGGATAACCTGTGTTCCCTTTTGTACAACATTGCTTGACCGACTGGTTTCCTGCTGACTCAGTTCCATTTCTCCTCTGGAAACAGTATCTAAGATGCTGTACACTTAATAAGCGTGCTTGGCATAAGATTTCCTGACCCCAGCTTTCCCACTTTCTCATCTCCTGCCCGTCTCACTTAGGACCCCGTCACTGAAAAATGGCCTACTGGTCCAAGTCACCTGATGTCCTGCTCTGGCCTCTACATGTGTCCTTTGAGTGCATGCACACACAAGTATGCACCACACACAAAGCATGCCTTCAGCGGGGCATGGCAGCTCAAGCCTATAATCCTAGCTGTTGAGGAATATTAGTTGAAGATGGGTTATGTCAGTTTATGCTGTAGAATATTTGCTTAGTGATGCAAAGATTGCTACATTCTTTTATGTTGCATTTGTTTAACTCTGTGAAGCTGTGTTAGTTTGCCTGCCTAAAACACCTGATTGGTTTAATAAAGAGCTGAATGTCCACAGGAGAAGGGGAGGGAGAGGGAACTGGGATTGACATGTGAAGCAAGCTATTTAAAATTAAAATAAAAAAAGAGCTGAATGTCCAATAGCTTGGTAGAAGAGGGAAATAGGTGAAGTTGCCAGGCAGAGAGAATAAACAGAAGAAGCAGTATCGCAAAAGAGGAGCAAGAAGACATCAGGAGCCAGCCACCCAGCTACACAGCAAGCCACAGAGTAAGAAGTAAAGAAGGGAATATGGAATAGAGAAAGATAAAAGCCCAAAGGCAAAAGGTAGGTTGGATAATATAAGAAAATCTGGCTAGAAACAAGCCAGGCTAAGGCTGGGCGCTTTAAGTAAGAATAAGATCCTGCAAACTTATTTGGGAGCTGGGTGGCAGGCCCCCAAACAGTAAAAGGAGTAAAACAACCAACTACACCTAGCACGAGTGACTGAGGCTTAGAGGCTGTTGCAAATTCAAAGGCCTGCCTGGGCTACAGACTCTATCTCAAAAACCAAAACAAATGCAATAGCATATCTTCCAGCTTTGATGCCAAGGCTCCTCTATTACATTTTCTAAACCATTTTCTTTTACAAATGTACTTTACTGTAAGTCTAACAACATCTTTGTCCATCAACATTCAGTTTCTTACAAGAAATAAGGGAAGAGTATCAGGAGTTCTCCAGGCAACCCTCACTGGAATAAGTGGTCTATGAAACACCAACACAGTCTCCTGGAATCTCTACAGGAGGTCAGAAGCACAGCCACTAGGCGGCTGCCTAACAGCTGCTGCCTGGTATCAACCAGCTTCTGTGGCATTCCAGAGTCCTGAATGGGAAATGGATTACACCTAAGGAACATGGCCCTTAGACCTTAAGATAATCCTTTCATACTGCCAGTCATTTTCCCCAAGTGTACCAAATCACTGATTTACCTAAGTATTTTGTAAAAGAAAATGCATCATAAATAACCAAATAAAGTCATTTTGAAGTTGAATATTTATTTGAATATTATTTTCCCCTGTAAAAGCACTCAATATGTAAGAAAATTAACCAAGTTTGTGAGACTTTTAAAAATATATATAGCCATTTTTTGAAAAATGAAAAGTTGGCTTCTGTTTTCAATGGCAACAAGACACTGTTATTTTAAAACTACCATTTAAAAAGTAGTATTTTAAAAAATGTATACTATATTAACATGATGTGTTCTACAGAATGGATACATATATGAATGCCAATCTGAATATGGAAGAAATATACGTGTTAAAAATCACACTGGAAAAACAAATGTTCTTTTAAAAAAGAACTTGTTAGCAAACCTCATAAACTTTCACACGTGGGATTTATAAAAAGAAAAAAAATCCCATCTACCCATCCCCACAAGAAAAGAAAGAAAAAAGCAAGATGTGTTCAGTTTGAAAAGAGGCATTACAGAACCACTCATTTCTGTACAACATGGAAGCCTGGATACACAGCCAATGGTAACTTCCTAAAGTGCATCTTTTGAAGATTTGTCTAATAAATAATTCCAATCTCAAATATAAAATACTTAACACAGACATGCAATAACAAAACTAAATCATTATAGTGTAAAGTTTTTAAAACTACTTTTAAAACTTTTGATTCACCAAAGAATAAAGACATCAATACAATAGGCATTTTCATTCTCCAACAGTATGCACTTTGTGCTCTTGTTATTTGGCAAATCTTTTGGAGTCGAACAAAAATAATGCAGTCTAAACAATATTTCTTCTGTCAATATAATAGGATTCCTCAGGCAGAGCAGTAAAGCGCAGAGAAGAGTTAGATTTTGGGAAGTTTTGGTGCATTAACCACAGGGTTTGCCTCCTGCAAGTATCTCCTTCCTGCACTCTTGTAGTCATAAGTGCAGCCATGAGTTTCTGCATAGCGATGAGATGCACAGAAGTTGTTTCCACATCTAAAGCACAAAAAAGTTTATGTGAATAGTCAGATTTGCACAGAGGGCTCATATTTTTAGAAGAAGTGTGTGACTTCAGGAAATTCAATAAAAGTCTCCTTAGCAATTTCAGCATTGACAGTCCCCTTCCACTCATAAGGATAAAGCCCCCAAAGAACAAGGTAACTGAATGACAGCTATGTATCTTTTTGAAGTAAAAACCTGAAAGCTGGTAACGTGTCCACGATATCTCTTACATTGAGTACATTTGAATTCTAAGAAATTAAGTCTCATTAGAAAATTAGGCGATATAAAATTAGCTATTTAAGACTGGACATGTTGGTATATGCTGTGACTAGCAGGAGGCAGAGGCAGAGGCAGAGGCAGAGGCAGAGAGGCAGAGAGGCAGTGGCAGAGGCAGAGGCAGAGGCAAGCAGATCTCTGTGAATTCAAGGCCAGCCTGGTGTACATAGCAAGATCTAGGCCAGCCAGAGTTACATGATGAGGCTCTGTCTCATAAAGCAAATAAAACCTGCAAACCAACAAAAAGCTATGATATGAGAGAATGTGAAACACATTCCGGATTTTTTAAAAAGCTATTTTTATGTGAGCAGAATGCACTCTAAAAGGCCACAATTCTTTTCAATGTTTGTCCTCACACTAAGAGAAGACATCTGATGGGACAGACTTAGTAGACTTCCTAGAGGAGGTCTTACCCTCCCAAGGAGTATATGGGATGGGGAGAGCAAGAGGAGACGAGGGAGGGGGACCTTGGATTGGAAAGTAAAAAAATTAACAAAAAAGAGAAGATATCAATCAATGAAAGATACCAATGCTAATGAAAGATATAAAAAGTATTTAAGAATATATATCCATATGCTTTGCAATAACTGTACCAAATAATAAATTGTCAATTTTGGTTCAATTTTGTTGAACTTAAAAATAGAATCTAGAAGGAGGGGCTTTTTAAAGCAACATTCAAACAAATCAGTTGGCTTAAATGTCCTTGTTCAATGACAGTGGAGTCTTTACTTAGGCCTTTTGGAAGGACAGCTTTCCCCTCTCTCTGTCTCTGTCTCTGTCTCTGTCTCTCTCTCTCTCCCTCCCTCCCTCCTCTCCAATTAGGAATTCATCTAAGGGTTTCTACTAGGACATCATCTTGATATTAAAATTGACCATTTAAACATTGTTTTACTTTGCACAACTCCCATGCTGAGTCCCCACAGAAAAATCCTCTCAGCTTCTCCAGGGGCCACCTGCCTGCATTCGAAGCTAGTGGCCAATCCTGTTTTCTTTCCACAAAGAAAACAATGTTTCGTTATTTTCTTCTTTGCTTGAAGAGGGGCTTTCACGGGTGGAAGGTGTCGGGTGCTTTCTCCTGGTTAGAGAAAGAATATCTCATTAATACAAACACAAAATTCTAAATTTTAACAGAGACTAAGTATAACATTCCTGTCTTAGTATCATGCTATACACATTTAATTTGTAATATTTTATACTTAATTTATTAAATCTATAAATGAAGTGGCAGTGAATGTGTGTGTGTGTGTGTGTGTGTGTGATGTTTCTACTAACTAGGACTTGGGCTTTTTAGGTCTTCTTGTATACACTAATACTGCTCTGACTATATCTAAGGGTAATTAACCTAAATACAGTACTGCAAACATTAAAAAGAATTTTTATGCCAGGCGGTGGTGGTGCACGCCTTTAATCCCAGCACTCGGGAGGCAGAGGCAGGCGGATCTCTGTGAGTTCGAGGCCGGGCTGGACCGACAGCCTCCAAAACAATACAGAGAAACTCTGTCTCATAAAAACCAAAAAAGAAAAAAGAATTTGTATAAATCCCATCTGTAGAGCCCTCTTGAAAGAACACAATAATTCTGTTTGTAAATATCAAGAAGTACCAGAATAACATAAAACTGATCTTTTACAGCACAGAAAGTAAATTTGTCAAACTAAAGAAGCCATTTATTTTTTTCAAAACTTCAATTTCATTACCTTTAAGATAACAGAACATGGACTAGTGAAAGGGCAGAACAGACAAAGGCAACCTGAAGTCAATAACTAAGACCTACATGGTAGAAAGAGAAAACTAACCCACAAGTCCTGGCTTCTACCATGGTATGCACCTACCCCCATTCTTCATGGGAGAAGTCCTTGTTGAGAGGGAAGTGGGAGGGGAGAAGAGGGGATATAATTGTATTTCATTGTATCCATGCACAAAAACCTCAAAAGTAAAGAAAAAAAATCTTTAAAAGACAAAGTAAAACAATGTTTTAAGTTCATTTAATACCAACTCAGTTTACCTAATGTAAAAAGCCTCTGAATACTTTATTTTTGTTGTTGTTTTAGTTTTAGACTCTCTACATAGCCATGGCTGTCCTGGAACTCACTATGCAGATCAGGCTGGTCTCAAATTTAGGTATCTGTCTGCTTCTGCCTACTGAGTGCTGGGGTTAAAACTGTGTATGACACCCAGCTGTCTCTGAACATTTTAAATGTGTTATAATTATATAAAATATACTATTGATAGTGGCTGAGAATATATTGTTTATGATTTATTAAAGCTTGCCTGGGGATTCAGAAAGCAAAGTCAGCCATAAGCTATAGAAGCCAGGCACACACCTTTAATCCCAGCAGCCAAAAGCTAGGGGGTGGTGGTACACACCGTTAATCCTAGGACTCAGGATTAATAGGTAGATGGATCTCTGTGAGTCCAAGGTCACCCAGATCTACACAAGAGTGAATCAGTCTAAAAGAGAATTATGCTCACACCTTTAATCCCAACATTAGGGAAGTATATAAGACAGAAGCAAGGTCTCTCGCTGAGAAGAGGTTACAATCTGAGGTTTGGCGAGAGCTCAAGGAGGCACCCCATTCATTCTGAGGTAGAGGTGAGAGCTAGTGGCCAGCTGCTTTGCTTTTCTGATATTCAACTTGAAGCTTGAACCTCGATATCAGTCTTTGGGTTACAACCCTAATGGTGTCTAGAGCACCAATCTAAAGCTTGTTTTATCAAATGCCATTGGAAGTATCCAAAACATTTCACTAACTTAATGGAGTAATTCTTACTTCTTAAAGAAATGATAAAGAGTACTGAGGGAATTACTTAGTGGGAGAGCACATGCTAAATCTTCATTCATATGGTCCCATGTTTAATCTCTGGTTGTCAGATGAGTGAATAAAGAAGCTCTTACACAGTACATGGGGATCTATTCCAGAACAGCCAATGGGAGCTCATCTACTGACAACTGGTTTTGAAATTCAGAGTTAATATATTCTTTCTTAATTGATGGTAGGAAAATATGTTGATATAACTTAGTTCACTACAGTCATATTTTCATCATTTTTTTTCTTTTGGAATGCTTAACTCAAGAATTTTTCAACTTTTTCATTCAAGTATTTCTGTGAGTGTTCACACAGACAAAACACAGTTGTGACAAATAAGAAGTGACACAAAAACAGAATGGCAGTTAACCTCTGTGAGAAGATTCTGTGAAAGCTTATACCCATTCAGAGATAACTATTAGTCATCTATTACATGCTAAGTCATTACTAATATACACCATTCTAATATTCTTTTTACTAGTATCGAAGGCTAACTTTCCAGAGTCATTTCCTGCCATTTACCATTTTAAGCATTCCCCTGAATAAGATAGCATCCATACTTTCTTCTTCTAATAGATGCTATCTACCCTGTAAGACATTATCAATTATCAACTATTCTCTAGAGCATTCTCTGATACGTGTGTCAAACATGAGTAAAATGAAGTAACATTCAAGTGAGAAATTACTTTTCAGACAGGATGAAAGGCATTGTAATAACTAACTCCTTTATGTTTTCTAGATAAATGTTTGATCTAATGCAATTAATCACTCAATCGAAAGAAATTCATAGGGTGACAAATTAATGTTCCAAATGCAAGCTTGATAGTCAGCTGTCTGAAGCTGCTGGCTATAACTGCAGCAATGGGTAAAATCTCCAAAGGATAACTGATAGTGAAGAGAACCAGCAAAAGAACTTAGTAATTTACTTTAAAGATACACAGATCCTTCTAGGTACCCAGGGTGAGGAAACAGCAACAGGTGTCATAAGCTCTAGTTAAAGGAATCATACATGGGTTGTTGACAGCTCTTGATGTTTTGAACACAAATTAGATCAAACAACAAAAATGTTGTATGGAGACAGAAAGAAATTTTAAAACAGTACAAACATGTTTTAACAAAGGGTTTGGGATACAGTTTGCTGGTAAAGTATTTGCCTGGAATGCTCAAGGCCTTGAATTCGATCCCCACAACCACAAAATGAACAAAATTCTAGCCAAGAAGAAAACAAAGAAATAAAAACAAAAACAACTTAATGTTCTATAATTAAAGAGGAGGAAAGAGAACCAAGTGGTAAGCCATGCGCTTAGCAGGAACAAAGCCCTGAGTGCAGTCCTCAGCATCATGAAGAAAGGAAAAGAGGGCAATGAGAGAAAAAAATGAAAAGCTTTGAGGACCTAAAGTTCGTATAAGACCTCAGTACTCAGTGGGTAGATGGAAAGAAGGAATTGTACTAGAAGTACTGGCCAGCAGGCTGAGATGACAACAGTACAACCTCCCCAAATACTATATCCTGAAAGCAGAACAAACCTGAGTGTGTGCTGAGGGAAAATAACATTTCTAACATGAGCTACACCTCTGGCAGAAACCCCTGCTCCACCAAAGGCCACACCAGCACTCAGATCCTCAGAGGCTACACTGCCACCCAGAACCCCAAAGGACCCAAATAGACCAGAGAACACTCTGGCTGCCAGATCTCCAGCCCCCGTCTTGAGTGGAGACTCTTTACTCAATCACAGACCACTGTGGCAAAAAGACAGAGAGGAAACAGAAATCAAGTAGCAAAAAAAAACCCATCCAACAAAGGCAAACTCAGAAATCAGCACCTAGATTGATAACCACTACAAACCCAGATGCCTAAATACCAGTGTACGAACACAATCAACAACAGCCAGGAAAATATGGCAACACAAGAGTACAACTATCCTACTACAGCAAGCCCTGAAAAGTCCAACACAGAGCACAAGAAAGTGACTTTAAAATAAACTTTATAAGGATGATAGAGGACCTTAAAGAGAAAATGAACAAATTCCTTAAAGAAATCCAGAAAAACACAATTGGAGAAAACAAATAAATCCCTCACCAAAAGCCAAGAAAAAGCAAATAGTTGAAGACAATAAATAAAATTGTTCAAGACTTGAAAATGGAATAGAGACAATAAAGAAAACATAAACTGTGGTAATTGTGGAAATGAAAAAAATCGAGGTCAGCAAACAAGAACTTCAGACACAGGTATCACCAACAGAATACAAGAGATGGAAGAGAATCTCAGGTGTTGAAGATATGATAAAAGAAATAGATACATTGGTCAAAGAAAAATGTTAAATCTAAAATGTCCCTGACACAAAACATTCAAGAAACTTGGAACACCATGAAAATACCAAACCTAAGACTAACAGGAATAAAAGAAGAATTTCAACTTAAAGGCCTAGAACGGATTTTGTTTTGTTTTGTTTGAAACAGGGTTTCTCTGTATTGCTTTGGAGCCTGGCCTGGAACTGGCTCTGAAGACCAAGCTGGCTTCCTACTCACAGATCTGCCTGCCTCTGCCTCCAGAGTGCTGGGATTAAAGGAGTGTGCCACCACCACCCAGCCCTGGAAAAGATTTTTAATAAAATCATAGAATAAAAGTTTTCCTAATCTAAAGAAGGACATGACTATAAAGGTACAAGAAGCTTACAGAACACCAACTAGATTGAATCAGAAAACTCACCTCACCACTTAATTATCAAAGCACTAAACACACACAACAAAGAAAGAATATTAAAAACTGCAAAACAAAAAGGTGAAAATACATATGAAGGCAGACCTATTAGAATTATGCCCAACAACTCAATGGAGATTCTAAAACCCAGAAGGGCCTGGATTGATGTCCTGTAGACTATAAGAGAATACAGATGTCGGCCCAGATTGCTATACCTGGCAAAACTTCCAATCACCATATCACCATAGATAGAGAAAATAAGATTTTCCATTAAAAACTCAAATTCAAACAGTATCTATCCACAAATCCAGTCCTGTAGAAGGTACTAGAAAGAAAATTCTAACCTGAGAGGTTAACTTCACCTGCAAAAAAACAATCTCTCAACAGCAAAACCCTAAGAAATGAAACACACACACACACACACACACACACACACACACACAGAGAGAGAGAGAGAGAGAGAGAGAGAGAGAGAGAGAGAGAGAGAGAGAGAGAGAGAGAGAAACCACCACCACCAACAGTAGCAACATAACATAACTGAGACATTGGTACGTCTCAGTATCAATGGA